CTGTACATTCTAACGTTAATTCGTTCAAATTTATGTTAATTGATTGTATCAAAAAACATTATATTGTTAAATGCGGACATCAATGCGAATAACGCATAAGAAGAAGCGAGAAATTACTAACATTAAGAATAAGATTTTAATAATTAGATTTAAATAATTTAAGGTTATTATTTTATTTTTATTTTTGTACTGAGGATGGTCAAATCGTGACCGAAACGTCTACTATGTAAAATGTTTATTATTGAATTATAACTTTTTGACATCTCTAGCGTGGCTGTATGCTCCTTTTTACTTAACCTTCTTAACATTGAGCCACTTTCCAATATTGAAAAAATATTATAATTTACTTCCGTTGCATATACATTGAAATACGAAAGAGTAGAATATAGTTAAATACGCTATTTACTATTAAATTTTATGAAGCTTCTCGTAAACTTTGCCCGAAATGCGAAAGCATAAAATCAATTAATTAATTTCAACGAGTTTCTATTAGTTTTAATCAAGTTTTCGACGAAATGTTTCATTTCAAGTATTACTATAAAGAAAGTTCTAGTCCGCTTGAGGGATATTAAAGAGAAACAATTTCAATTCAATTGCATTTATATAAACAACGTGCGATCGCAGAAAATAGTTTTCCGCATATATATATTTATATGCATACACGGCGAAAAAGTTTAAAACGTTTGATCCTGACGTTTACAGAATTGGCAAAATAAGGTAAAATTTTCTGCAGTTCCAACATAAATAAGAAAAAGCAACAGAATCTCAAGCAGAAAAATTAAATCGAGTGCGCGCCATTGATTTTCTTTTAACTCGCTCGATTGCAGCATACAGATTTATTTCTGGTTTACATATTTTAAAAGTCTTGAATATTTTTTTAGAGCAATTTCTAAATCGCGCGTATAATACAGATCGTATAGAAAATTTAAAGAGAATGAAATTTTTATATTATCTTCAACACGTGTGTTCGACAATAATATTTGCGTTATACGGGCATTTAATAATCGTTCGAGCTGACATAAAAATCTATATCACAGTTATTGACACTGAGAGTCTGTGAGACTCATTTAATTTATATTTAAAAGACACTAATTAATTTCAAAGTACCAAAATGATATAACCTATACAAAAAAAGAATGAATTCTAATGCTCGTTTCCAATAGTAGATTATCTTTAATCTCGATTTAACTTTTAAGTATTCGAAAAATCTGAAGAATAAAATTAATCTACATTAGTGGAAACGAACATAAATATTTAACATAAAGAAAATTGAATTGATATTTTTGGCAAAGAGACTTATTGAGTGGGTTTAGTAGACTCATCGTTAACTCTCAGAATTAACAGCCGTAATTTTAATGATTTAAAACAATTTGATGATATTAATTGCGTACCTATTTTCTACAGTTGTAAGGACACTAATTATTACACGTCCTCGTAAGCGAAATTAATCTCGCGTTTGCCGTTATTCGTAAGAGATTTACAAGTAATTACTGCAGGGAAACCTGCGCGAACTTACCGGAATGAAACTCTCGTCAACTAAGTATATATATGTATTCGTATCCAACGACAAACTATGAAGTCTCCAACTAACTTCACCGTTTCCTTCTAACGTACGTATGCGGAGCCATCGAGATTAGGTCCGTGGCTTTGTTTAAGAACTATTAGAAATGATGTCGGTATCGTGGAAAGACATCGAGGGATGATCGTAATTTTGGATTAAATCGCACGCAATAACTAAATTATTTTACGAGACGTATCACATTTCCGGGCTTTTCTCATCGGAGCAAGTCAATTAGTTCGAGCATCCGACGAGCAATTTATTAATAAGAGACGCTGGCTGAATATCTGGGGAACATTGCGCTTATCAACATCTCTACGTTACTCATCCCCAAATTGTCAGGATCATCACTATTTTCCCTCGGGTCCGAGTGTAATGGAGCATGGACGAAAATTACAGAGTCCTGAAAGCCCGGTCACCCAATTCGGCTATTCCAACCCACTATCACCCACGCCCTGATGATTATCACGTTGACCTCGGACTTGCTCGCAAAATCGCGCATGTGCGTATATATATATATATATATATATATATATATATATATATATATATATATATATATATATACGAGAGTTCAGAAATAGCGGTCAGAAGTCGGAACCTGTCTTACTTAACAACATCTTTTGTCGACAGTTACATTGTTCACTGAATATACAGACCTTTACTAGTAACACGGACAATAATGGTCTTGTTGTATCACGATGAAATGGCTTTTCAGATAATGTCATTTGAACTATCGCGATGAGTAGAGTTACAATTTAGAACCGAGCGTATATAAGAGGCGATAGGGTCGAGTTCATTTTTACGACAATTCACCGAGATTGCCACGAAACGAGTACACGTTGACAGCGACATCGCCAACGAGCCGTGGACGTGTCGATAGACGACACTATCTGCTGACGGACGAAGTCATGACCCTCGATTGCGAAGGCGCGATGTTAAAGTCACGAGGAAAGTAAGTGGAGGCGGACTTTACGGGTCAGGCCGTAAATCCCACGGGGGGGGCTCAAGTAGATGCCGAGAAAAGTGTTCTACCGATAAACTAAACGGTAAAGGCCATAAATGTGAGCGCGTTGTCTGACGCGCAATGCCGCGTCGGTGTGCTCCACTTCGCTCTGCTCGACTTGGCGCGCAGCGCACGGAGCGTGTTGCACATAAACGACAATAAACTGAATGTTCTGGCAAAGAAAGAAAGGAGATAGTT